GCGCCTCACCAATACCGAGGGATAAACCACTATCGTACTACATAGCCTTTCTCCTCTTTTGAGCATTGTCCCCGGCGCTCCCGCAGGTCAACCTCCCACGTCAGCCATTACAACGTATTCGGCGCTGTAAAGAAACACCCACGATCCAACCGTACCAGTCACCAAAAAAGTGTAGCGTCCCGAGACTCCCTGAAGACGAAAGAAGTCACAATACTCGGGCAGAATACATATATTCAGCACGAAGAAGGCGTCTGGGCTATTGGCATGGCCCAAAAGGCCAGCCCACCCAGCGAGATACAAGGGAGCTAGTTCGAAGTACAAAAGTGGCGCCTCACCAGAACCGAGGGATAAACCACTATCGTATTACAAAAGGTCAGTCGTAGACGACATCAAAGACTGATGTCCTTGAATTAGTCAACACTTTCGACCAAAACAAAGTACTTTAGGTTCTTCATACTAAAAGCACAGAAGCTGCCTAAGTCTTGATACTATACCGGAATGTGTATTGTTGACGTGAAGGAGGTTTGAGAGGCTACTGCTGTGGCTCCAGGGCCATGCTGCCAAGCGGAGGCACAGAGGCCCGGCCTTGGGGGCTCCTACAAACAAATTGAAGAGTGAAACAAACAAGCCAAGTGTTGCATAGTCCCTCACTTTTTAAACGTCTCCTTCGGGGCTTCCCTTGGTCAACTTTCCTTGTCCGCCATCACAACTTCATCGGTGTTGGCAAAAATACACCCACAAACCAACTACACCCGTCATCGAATTTACGCGAACCGGAGAGGGGCACAGAATGCTGCGTTGCTGATCCCTCTTGACAATTTCACTGTATCTGAAGATTCGTCCTGACTTGGTACTTTACTAATGCATGGAGAAATGCGATGGCCAACTCTTTATCCCCACCTCCAGTGGTAAGGATTGGCTTTAAAGTAGTTTCGTAGGATGGAGTTTTCGCATCTGTCAATCCTTTCCGCTTTACTGTCACCTCACTGCTGTCCAGCCATAAATCTAAGTTCTATCCAGCTAGTAGAGAAGTGGGGAAAATATTGTCATCCAGGCACCACAAATTGATCTGTAATAAAATTTTTTCGAATAAATCACGGTTTGCGTCGATTCAATTGTTAATAGCTTCCCTGCAGACCACGGAGCTGGAGTGGTTGCCGAAGGTAGACTTCGTTATCAACCCTTCTGTTAGAGTCTTCACCGATTCTTCCACAGGTGGAATAGGGATGCCTTCCATCATGCTAAAATTTGGTAATTACCAATGGAAATCGGAGTAGTTGTCCTTCATGATCGGATTTTCTTGCCACTGGCCACCAATGTGGCGTCCCTAGTCTTTCCTACAAAGGTGTCGCAAGAGAGGGCTAATAAGGAAATATTTTTGGCAGGAGTACCGTACTTTCTTACGACTTAAGAAAAGACTCGAGGTGCCGCATTGATGGCAGCGGTGGGATACAACGCTGATTATCATCTGATAAGGAATGAATAGTCAATGGCTTTCACAATCGCAAAAAAATGATTGTGGTCAAGAGCATTTAGAAGTGATTCAAAAATTACTAAATATATACACATGCAGTCATTTTATGGGATTGTTGAAGACACCAGTCACAAGATCTCAAGCATTTTATAAATTGATAAGCCATGATACATCCTACCACTGCCACCGATGTAGACCCTGAGGCTATCCGGAAGTGGTCAAAAGTTACGTACTATGCCGGAAGGCATATTGTAACACGTTAATTACTTATCTCCTGGTTTCGATAAGGGGTCACTTTGTGTCTTAGTCATCGAACCTTTGCCAGGTGGGATGTCCTTTGGGCCCTGAAACTAGCCTCAAACCACTCTTGTACCTTCAATATTTATATTTCGCCCTAGTATCATGTCTTGCTTCGTCTTCAGGCAAGTCTTGATGCTCATGGTAGAAATAAAAGCCTACTGGTAAAAAACAGTGGTCATGCCTTTTAGCGGAATCACCATGAGGGAGCTCAGAGTGTCTGCGTGATCAAAGCGCAAGGTTACACAATCGATTAATGGATTGTAATGCCTCAGAAGCTTAAGTTTGTACGGAATGCAGTGTCTACAAAGAAGAGGATTTTTGCGTTAGTAAAGGTAGTGTTTAAGTAATGGGAAAATGCAACAAAGAACACCAAAGTAAGACGCGTTGAAGGTAAATATACATGGAAAAGACTATTGTGGTAACATATAACCACAGGATGGCCCTGCTTTTAGTCAGTCTTATCACTTTCGCGATTTCAAAAACATAATTGCGATGAAAATTCTCATTCGCATGTTTTTGCACATCACGATTAGCCTATAGCTGCTTAAAGTTAAAATAATTTTGCGACTTATTTGTAAAACAAAACAAGTGTCCAAAATGCAAAAATTGTGGGTTTTCCAAATACTTTCATAGCTCACCTTTTAAATTAAAGCACTTAATCTTGTGTATTTCCCTTCGTTAACGTGTGCAAGTAGAAACCCCTGGCTTACCACAAATCAACACTTTGCAAAAATGTAAAAAGTCTTATTATTTTGAATACTTGACGTAAGATTAACCTAAAGTATGCACACCTAAATCTCTTCTTCTCTTATTGGCTTACTAATGTCCAACGAGAACGCGACCTTTCCAGATTTGGACTTGTAATAGCACTTAAAGCTTATTCAGCCGTGCAGACTTCACATTCTCATGACATTCATTAAATAATTTGACGATGCGGAAAGCTTTATCATTGATTGTAAAAAATCATCAATCTCAGATTCCACCTGATGAGGTGGAGGTCAGGGCTTTCGTTGAAGGGTTAGAAAATGCGGATTCATGGACTGATGTGAAATTACCACCTGAAGTCGAGGGTTGTCTTGCCTTTTTGTGTTCCCGTCAGGCGATTAATGGTGAGATGCTATCTTAGAATGATAATGAGGCTTTTGCAGACCCTAGCTTCGAAAATCACTCCACACTGAAGCCATCCATCACCTGGTTGGTCAAAGCGTCCTTATTTGAGATTTCGCGCAGTGGCGTTGATTCATCGGTGGGTAGCGCTTTCAGCTCTTCATGCTTTAGGCTGATCCGTTTTACGGTCTTCGGGTTCTTCTGTCGGGAATCTCCATACCTCAAAGGCTGTGCGAATCCGAAATCCAAAAACTACTGGCTAACAGTGGAGAAACGGATACATCTATTACATCAACTTCAACCCCATCGGAATCATCCAAAAAGAAGGTGAAAAAGGCTCAGATCGCTAAAGAACTGTGGGATGATGTGTCTTCTGCAGTAGTGAGTTTCGCGCAGCTTCATTTGTCTAGGCTGCCATCCATTGCTTTGTTAAAAATGTTTGCTTTCTTAAAAATTTCAGTCTGAGTTAAACGGTGATCATGTCTTGCGTATCTCGAATACCTACTCCTCGATTGCTCGTGCAGTGTTTTGGAAAGAACGCGGAAATGAGGTTCTGCTAAACTGTCTGCAGATTTACCTAAAGATTCTTCAAAAGTATGCTTCGTTTTTTGCCCACTTGGGCGTTTCCTGCACTTACCCCTCTCCTCCTTTTTAGTTCTCCTAAGGTGGATCTAAAGTCTATTGCAAAAAAGGTGTTTTTGCTCTGTCAAATTCTACATGGAGCTCTTTCTGATCCTGCTAATCCAACCTGCACCCTCTCCTCAATGCCGTCTATGTTCGTTAACAACTGGATCAAATCTGTCTTCAAAACCATGATAGCTCTCGTGCAAACCCTTGTACCAGCCCTCTTTACTCGGAATGCCGAATGCGTTGGAGCCGATTTTATTGCCACTGATGTCTTTGACACTATGGTATTTCATTCCCTCATTAAGTTGCTAAATATGGTGAGCGTGGACTGACGAATCCATCTTGCTTACTTGTCCTTTTTTAGGTTCTCTTACAAGAAGCCTTTTTTTCTCTGTTCTCCACTTCGGTGAGTGTCATTTCTCTTTTCTCGGGCTTGCGTACACTGCGCTGTTTTTTCAAGGTCATATTACATTTGATGTTGTCACTGTCGAGGTACTAGCTTCATTTCACACGAATGCTGCTGAGAGCTTTCCCTGCCTATCGAAGGTGGTGGGTCTTGACCCTTACCTTTTCTGTACGGTTGTAAGACTGTGTGCCTTTCTCCATGCTAGTTGCCCTTCATGACTTCTCTATATAAGGTATTACATTGGTTCTGAAACTCGGAAATGCAAGCATGTACTGCACCTGACCTCAGGTCTGTGCGCAGGCGCGTACATACATGCGTGCACAAGTGGACCGGTGTTCAGGCAACGCTCCTGAGTGACGCTCGTGTGACCCCGTACAGTGGAATCAGTATTGACCTCTGCTCATGTCAACTCAAAACCTAGGCGGTGATGAAATATTGGTCGTTAAACTAATGCATCCAATTTTCTCGATTTAATCTGATGCCTCCAGCTTTAAGTCGAAAAATTATTTGGCAACTGCCAAGCACGAGGCGATGCAGCATCTTTTGGATGTCATCTTTTTAGTTTGTGCCGCTGTTTGCGCAGCTTATCAAGTGGAGGACGTGTTTGAATTCCTATGCTATAAGAGCCTCTGTGAATACTACAAATTTGAGAATATACTCTAAGCTTGTTCTTGTTGCAGCGGCTTTGTTTGTGTGACATCCTTTGAGAGCGTTGGAATGTTACGTGCTCGGCGATTGGGGGACTCCCTTTCACATGTTTATGTTAAACATCGGTTTCATGTAGTCTGTTGTCAAAATTTTCTTTAAAAATCCTGCATTTTGTGTACTTGGCAGGAAAGTAACACTCTTCATGCATTGAAAGGCCTTTGTATTTGTGCTCATATTGAGATCTTCCGCTTAAGTTTTACTTCTTAACGCACATCAATCTCACACCTGGGCGCCAATTTATCAAAGTATATTGCCTTTTCCGTATTTAAACACTTGTCCGCGCAATTTTTCTCAAATCCGGAACGTCTATTACCTCACTAAAATAGGTTGATTGGTATTGCATACTGATATAGGCACCGAAATCCGTTATTATCAAGAAATCTCTCACCCTTGCTCTCATTTTGCCAACAGGACAAGCGCCAAGTGGAGTGCTCTGAACTTGACGCTGCGCACCTTTGGTTTAATCTTTGTCTCATCTCTAACTACTGTCTGCCGCCGCCCAACGCGTCATCCGACGCACCGCTTAAGCTACTCTCTCCCACCTCCACCAGCTTTACAAAATTTACCACATTTGCGCTGGAGAGACTCCGTGGTGAGCTGCAAAACTCCTTTGGCTCTACTTCCTCCGTTCTTGTCAACCGGCTACTCTGGAGTCGAGAGGGTGAAGGCTGGGCGCCGATGGAAGTCGATGCCCCTGTCAACAGTTCCTCGGAGTGGGCAAGAACACTGTGTAAAGCATCTTACTCTCATTAGTATATCACTTTTTAGGAAGGGAATTAACGAGGCTCCCGTGTATTGTTCTTCATTGTTTTATTTCAGCCTCAGTTGACGCCTACGAACGGTTTGTTTTAGAAGCAGACTTTCGTCTATCACTTGTGCTTTCCGGCCCTCTCGATGTCTTTCTCCTTGACTTGGCGTCTGCCTTCTTTGCTGCTACGGTAAAGATTCCATAAGTTAGCTCTATTTTGGGTAATAGGACCATTTACATGATTGCTGCCCGCATCTGCAAAATAATTTCTTCTGAATTGAGGCTGCTGCTTTAGTTTGGATTCTGGTAGGGTCTTTGGTTTATTGCTGCTACTTTATGGGGTCTGTGTAGGTTCAATGTTCCACATTTATTTGATCCGCCTGTCACTGTTCTTCTAATTAACAAAGTGGTACTTCAATAAAACTGCCCTACAACTTGTATATAATGCTTAAAATCAATAGATTACCTTAATTTATTTTCGACTTTTTCCCAAATGATATTATTAAAAGCACCTCCGCTTTTCCTTTCTTCTCTTTAGAAAACTGTCAAATCGGAATCTACTGATGGTAGGTACCTTTGTATAACAAAGTTTTGATCTCTGCATTCACGAAGTTTTGGTCAGTTTTTCGGTTTTCTGGTTCACAAATTTTATGAGGCTTTTATGCTTTGATACTTCAGTCAATACCAATTGTCCCCTCTTGTTATAAACGCTATAAAGAGCGAATCGCTGGCATTGCAACTAGCCCCCAAAATCTTTCTTCTTTCAGAAAACGCTTCTTTGTTATTGTGTGCAGAGAACGCAATCCTAACCCTCTCTAGCCTTTTTCAACTGCGTGAGATGCACAACACCCTTACCGCAGCCTCCGACAAGGACGCCTTCATTCGAAGCCTTGTTTACCTCATCTCCCTGCACCCAGAGCCTCTGGGTCGCTGTCTCACGGCTCTCTTCTGCGTCCTCGCCCCCACCCCAATTACTCCTGCTACCCTCTCCTGCCTCCATCTTCTCCCCCCAGACCCCCAGCTCTCCCTAGACCCACAACCCCCCGTGACCTTCCGTCTCCTCGCCACCTACCTCCTCGATGCCTCCTGCTCCCAACCCAATGTGATTGAGACCTACTGCACTGCCGCGGTCAGCAGCCCCTTCACTGACCTCCCTCCACACATGGCTCAACTCATTTCCCTCCTTTCTGCTGCCTTCTCCAGTCATGCCTCCAAAAAGACTCTTCTCTCTGCAATCGTCGACACTCTCATTGACCCAGCAGGTGTTGAGGTGCTCCGTTCCCTCCGTCTCGTAGTTCTGTTGCGCTACCAACTGCATTACATCTTCGATCCGCCGCGTCATCTCAATGCCCAAGTTCGACCCGCCATCCTGGGTACGGGGAAGAAGGTTGTTTGGGAGTTTACTAATCTAGTGGGTCGAGGACCCTCCGAAGGCTACTTCTATGACCTTCTCCATGGAAAGAGTAAAACCAGTTCCACCATTCCTACGATGTGTCCTGCCCCGCCGCAAGACGGCTTGGCCATCATGACACTGGTTGCGCGGTCTGACTATGATAGGGTTTTTACTCGCATGCTACTTCTCTTTGATTCGTGGTGGCAGTCGACTCCTCTGTACGCTGCCTACGGGGCGCAGTTGAGTTGGCGCCTATTAGAAATCCTTCCGCCCTCCGCGGGCTTTGTGGAAGAGATCTCTTCTGTTGTGAATGGAGCCGAGTTGGAGGAAGATAGTGCACATCACCGCATCATCTACCTCCTTGTTCTCTTTGATCGGCTGCGCCGTTTGCCCACTTCTATTTCTTCCTCGTCTTTAACGTCTGAAAATGCGGAGAAGGAGGCTAAGCGGAGCAGGCATCGCATTGAGGCCATTGCTGTAAGTGTACTCCCTTCCTACCTCGTATGTGGAATCAAATGCCCCTTCTTATCGCTACTTCATTCCTTCCCAGAATGAAACCTTCAAAGCACAGTCCTCGCGCCGCATAAAGCCAACGAAACCTGCCTTCTCCAGCGTGGAAGGTTATGAGGTCTTCTTCTCTGTCCTACGCAGTTATAAGACCCACCTGCCAGTCCTACTCACGGAGGCGCTGAATCAGCTACAGAGTCTGCAGAAGAGTCTGGAAGACGGGATACATCTAACCGAGTCTCATTTGGTGTTTTGGCGCGTCGTTGTCCACGCACTGCGAACTCTTTTCTCACGGATTCAGGCTGGTGGAAAATTGCACACGCCGGGAGAAACGGAACCGCCCCCACTAATGACGGGAGCAGCAACTGCGACGAAGAAAGGAGGCAGCGAACCACTGAAGGTTTGCTCCACGGGCACACAGAGCGCTGGTTCTGTCGGCGCCTCTGCGGAGGTGGCAGACATCACGGGTCAGGCGAGCAAGAAACCTGGAGTGAGCGTGCATATGCTTCGCGTCATTTCAGAAAGTCCCATTTACGCTGTCCCTTTATGCAGCTGCTGGTGCTAAAGACAGTTTACGCTTGATTTTATGTGCTTAAATTCCGTGCAATATTGATCTATTCCATTCTCTCTTTCACAGCTTAATCCGGAGTTGTCCTATTTCTTCGATTCCTTCCTTCAAAACGCCGTGACCATGATGGAGTACCTCTTGCAACAGCTTAGAGCGGAACTCGGCTTTTCCTCTGGCGGAGTGGTGGAATGCCTCTGTCCTGACCGTCTCGTTGCCAGTGGCATCGAAAACTCTTTCCTCTTAGACAAAGTGATGACGGGGCGGCTAGTGGACGCTCTGCGACGTGCCTCCGAGCGGCTCTGATGGAGGAGGAGGAAGAGATAAA